AAAGGCAAATGAAGTCTGTGAGCTCACAGTCTGTGTTTTTGGAGATGGACACACTGATGTCATGTGGAGCCTGATTTGGCATCAGTTCACAGAGATGATGAGCTATTTGGCATGCTGTGTGTTACAGCATTATCATCTCTGCTGGAAACCAGGGGAGCAGATGATCCTTGGGTGGACCCAGGCTGGTAGGCATCATATGTATACTTGACAGAATTCTGCAATTCAGGCTGTTTGAATAATTTTGAGACTCCCATGTCCTGTGTGCTCAGTGCTGTTTGGTGGCTGGTTAGGCTTGGCACCTTGTCAGACTAGCTCAAATCAATTAATATATGTTGTTGAGCTTGAACAGGTCCTGGCTAAGATCTGTGGCAAAATCACAGAACAGAGAAGAATATCTTGTGTACAGTCACAGTCTTTGGTATTTAAGTCCACATTATTTGAAGTTTTCTGATAAAGAAAGGGAAGCACGTGTATATAACCGGGTTGCAAATGCAAAGCATCAGGTTTTCAGTGTTCAGAATCAGGTGAGCCCTTTGGCTCTTTAAAAGCTTTTAAGTACTCTTCTTTTGATGTGGTGCTATCAAATGTGCCGGAATTAGGACCAGGCATCATGATTAGGAGTGATGCTAGATAGAATCCTGACTTGTTGCTGACTGTATGAGAAGAAACTACCTCTGTACTCAAAAGTCTGGAATAGGAAGGGCACTATTGGTTAGTCAAACTAGGGCAGAATATATAGCCTGTTCTAGCGAAGCTTTTTTTTTTTTTTTTTTTTTTTTCACATATTGTCATGGAGGTTTGTATCTTATGTATGTATGGATCCTCATGAAAGGAACATTGAAGCATAGGAAGAAAAATCTTGTAGTCCAAATTAATAAATCCGGGGATGGCTGCATTAAAAAGTAACAGATGTTTCCTAAGAGAATGGACAGTGAGTAGCAGATTAAATGAACAATACCATTAATTTATCCTCTATTTCCACTATCCCACTCCAGCTCCCAAAGAGAGCAGAGCAGGAGAAAGTCCATCCATGCTATAGTCAGTCTGGAGTTGTGTATGCACAGGCCAGCAGCACTGTTTATGCACAGAATTCTCTTGCTTTTTACCCAGCTACAAGTTTTCACAGGACCTATAGAAACACTTTTAAGACAGCTTTTCCTTTGAGACTGGTTCAAACAGGCCTGAGTTCAGTGATCTTTTGCAGGTAGGGAGAAGGAGACATAACAAAAACATTAGATAAATACCTTGTTCTTTTATATGACCTAAGTAAAAATTAATAAAAAACCTTAATGGTTTGTGAATTTAATGGGCACAATAGGATCCTCATAAGATCAAGCAAGAAAAGAGAGAAAAGGGTTAAAAAAAGAGTATTACTGAAAAGTCTGTGGATGCCTTCACTTCTCAGTGCAAAATTGAGACTGTTTTAAGAGTCTGTCTGTCTGAAAGAGTAAATGCTCAGTATTCTCTGGTAATAGAAACTACTGACTATGCTATGTGATATTAAAAATTAAAGTGATGGTTTAAAATGAAAAATATTAACTCTAGTTTGCTGAAAAGACTACATGGAAGACCATAGACTACATACCTACTTCTGTGTTGTAATTTAAATGTTTACCAAGTACTGATTACCATTTATCTACTGCTTCATTAGTTATGTTAGATGAAAATCTATCTGACTTTTTTGTTTTCAAAAACAAACAAGAAAAACCAACTAACAAACCACACTAGTTGAACACTTTGAATTGTTGGTGCTTTTGGAATTTTATTAGGATTGCTCTTTTTGTGTAAAGAGAAAATTAGGGGGGGGAAAGGTATATCTAGAGTAAGGCAAAAGATCATTAAGGAAGTCTCCTCTCAAGATACATTTGGCACGTTTTCTACTGCTTTGCTTACTCAGTAGATGACCCTCCAAATTTCTGAAGGATGTTTCACATTAGTGCTAAGAATTTGATATGCTGGACCCCATAATCCTAAATTAAGTGAAGTAGTTCAGGGAAAGGCATGATCTGCCCTGGGATTATTAGAATTTAGCTTTCCTTTGTGCCTCACTATTCTGAATTTGCAGACTGAGCCATTCAGTGGTTCCCAGTAGTTATAGAGTGAATCTATAATACCCTGACGAGTAAAACCTACGACTAGGCTTTAGCAACGTATTTGTTATGTATTAACTGTTTCTTCCCCCTCACTGAAGCCTACTCAAAAGGTTTGAAACACTCAACAACAACTTATTGAAGTTGAATTTGTGTTCCTTCTGTTCTTAGAGAGCTCTGACAAATGTTACATCTTACTGGATAGGCAACTTTATCATTTGACTTCTTTCTAATTTTTGTTTGGTGCAATATCAGTAAACATTTTTATTTCTTTGTTTGTTTTTCAACCTGTGCTTCTGTTTCTTCTGTGTTTGACAGAAAATGAACTGGCAACACCACCTTTAGATGGCATCATCCTTCCAGGAGTGACAAGACAAAGCATTTTGGATCTGGCACACAAATGGGTGAGTGTTTTGACCTTGGCAGCAATCGTTTCAACTATCACATTATAACATCAATGCGAGTAAGCATTTCTGGTGCTCAGTATCTTGAAGTTCAGCTGATCTGGTCAAATCCATCAACTAAAATGGGAACTAAGGGCATGGTAATTCATAGATTCCCAGCAACATCATCAGAATACCCCCACCTGTTACACAGAACAATACCAAGCTTGTTAAAGTAGATCCGTGTAGTATTTAACATGGAAATTCTCATTAAATCCTCTGGTACTAGCAACTTAAAGCAATGAAACAATTATCGTGCATGACCGTGCATGAGCTGATGACTATACTTCAGTCATCAGCTCCCTTAGTTCTCATGGTTCCACCCTTATTTCTAATAACTAGCAAGGCAATCTAAAATCCAGGCACGGTTTTGCTGTTGTCTCTCTGTTTCCAGATTCCAGTTCTATCATGTAGCCATCAAGTATTTATTTTGACACTTGTAATTACCTCATATCCTGAAATGCTGCTAACTGTTCACTCTGCCTGTATGGTATAAGAATACAGTCAAAGGCTTATCAAGCCCCATATCCTGTCCACTGGTTCTGGTGCAGCGTACGTTTAGGAAAGAGTAAAAGAAATAACACAGACATGTGTGATACGTTCCCCTGATATTAACTCTACTTCCCTTTGCCTGTATCTGAAAGGCTTTCTGAAATACAGTTCACAATTGTATCACTCAAATCTAATTTGCAGTGAAGAGAGATAGGCATGTCCTTCATGGTGCACGTGTGCCATTTGTTGACCTGTTCTGAGCTGTCATGCACCTTTAGTTGTACTGGTACTCCCCTAGTGCAGATGTGCATGTGTACTTCTCAGTGTTGTCTTCTTTACAAGACAGACAGTTATTTCTAGTTGATAGTCCTTATGTGTGAGATACTAGACTCCCACCTCAGTCCTCTTGAAAGGTGTTGTCTGCTCTCAGAAAGGTTGTTTTCTTCCTGACCTCCATTCTCTGTCTGAAACTCTGCCGCTTACGTGTCCCTGTCTTTCTCCAACAAGTATCTTGTTAAGAGCTGATAATGTTCTCTGCTATCATAAGCATCTCTGTTTCATATTCAAGATCTTGCATATAAAATTAATGACTGAGCTTTAGTTTGGTCTGATAAGACAAAGTCCACATAAATCCATGAAATGAAAATTTCAATGTTCTATTTTTATCTTTGTTCTTTAAACATGTCCTTTCAATCAATTGCTTTGCATTTTTCACCTATAGAATATAAAACTCCTCCTATATCAGGACTTACCAATGTTAGTTGCTATACTTATACCGGCAGTACAGTCATTTCCTTATGTAACAGCTGTTTACAGGCTACAGTGTTAAATTTCATCAGGGATTAAAGAAATGTGTCACATCTAGCTGACATTGCAAGTGGAATTATCAATGTATTTTGCATAGGAGTTGTCCAAAAGTGGGATGCAAAGCTCTCTTGACATAATTGAGTAATTTTTGTACAAGCTCTATCATGCTAGAGATCATGAGTAGTTAGATCTTTTGTCACATGACCCATGATAAATATTGATATTCTGAGGAAACTGCCACTTTGTTGTCAGCATTGTATCTGGCACAGCACTGGCTTCCTTGAATGTCATTGTTTGGTTAATCTTGTGTGATACCGGGAAATTTGAAAAGATCAAAAGGTCACAGTCAACACTTGTTGCCACAAGGCTAATAGTTCTGATAGAGATGTTTTAACATGGAAAATAAAAAGACAATCAATATTTAAGTGTTTACAGTTTTTATGGTTGATTCTTCTGCAGGGAGAATTTAAAGTGTCTGAGCGATACATCACCATGAGTGACCTGACAGCTGCCTTGGAAGAGAACAGAGTAAAGGAGATGTTTGGTGCTGGAACAGCTTGTGTTGTATGTCCTATCTCTAAAATTTTATATAAGGGCAAGGTAAGATAGTGTCTCTTCAATATTTATTTTTTTTCCCCTTGTTTCTTCAAAGTGGTTTCATAATTAATTGCAGTTGAAGCACAAAACAAGTGAGTTAGAAAAAGTGTGCTGCCAGAGGCCCCTTGAAAAATGAACAGTGTCAGTATGTTGTTTCCCAAGTGAGTTACTAGTTGTCAGAAGACAACATTTCCCTCATTTTCTGGGGGTTTTGAGTAGTTAAAGTTATAAAATATCATATTGGTCCCCTCAGTTCAAAAAGGACAGGGAACTGCTTGAAAGAGTCTAACACAGAGCTACAAAGATGATTAAGGGAGTGGAACATCTCCCTTATGAGGAAAGGCTGAGGGAGCTGGGTCTCTTGAGCTTGGAGAAAAAGAGACTGAGGGGTGACCTCATCAATGTTTACAAATATGTAAGGGGTGAGTGTCAGGGAGATGGGGTTGGGCTTTTTTCAGTGATGACCAGTGGTAGGACAAGGGGTAATGGGTGCAAATTGGAGCATAGGAGGTTCAAGGTGAATATCCGGAATTTTTTTTTTACTGTAAGAGTGACAGAGCACTGGAACAGGCTGCCCAGGGGGGTTGTGGAGTCTCCTTCACTGGAGACATTCAAAACCCACCTGGATGCGTTCCTGTGTGATGTACTCTAGGTGACCCTGCTCTGGCAGGGGGGGTTGGACTAGATGATCTTTCGAGGTCCCTTCCAACTCCTAGGATTCTATGATTCTATGATTTCTGGGAAAACGAAAAAAACAAAATGAAAACCAACAGTTCCCAGCCCATTTGAAAAGATAGAAAAATACTTTATCCTGCATTTCTTCTATTGAATATTTTCCAAAGTTGAGGTACCTGGGAAACATGAGGAGAGGAAGGACTTTTGCAGGGGACAAAATTTCCTTTCTCAAATTCATTTCTTCCTCACCCCTCACTGCAGGGAACCCATCTCTGATGGAAACAGTTTCAGGAGGGTGCACAGCTGCTTCCACCTACTATACACCATGTGGGAGATTTCTCCTGCAGAGGTGGAATTCCACAGGCATTCAGCCTGTTAAGCTGAGTTGGTGCTGTTTAGCTAGCTCAAAGTTAGTTCAGAAGGCTGGTTTATTGCAACTGTATATATATAGATGTGGTTTTTTCCATTAAATGTGACAAATACAGTAAAAGCCTGTTAGGTGATACTTCTTGAATTAATAAGATGGAATGAATAGAGTAAAATAGACTATTTCAGTTGGAAGTGACCGACAGTGATCAATCTACTCCAACTGCCTGACCACTTCAGGGATGACCCAAGTTAAAGCATGTTGTTAAGGGCACTGTCTGAATGCTTCTTAACCACTGACAGGCTTGGAGCATTGACCACCTCTCTAGGAAGCTTGTTCCAGTGTTTGGCCACCCTCTTAGTAAATAGATTAGACATTAGGAAATATTTAAACCTCCCCTGATGCAGCTTTGAACCATTCCCATGTGTCCTATCACTGGATACAAAGAAAAGATCAGCACCTCCCTCAATGTAGCAGGACACTTGATCTCTCAGTATGCTCTCCTCAGAAAGATGTTGAGAGCAATGAGGTTGTCCCTCAGTCTCCTTTTCTCCGAACTAGACAAGCCTGAAGTCCTTAGCCGCTCTTCATAAGACATACCTTCCAGCCCTTTCACCAGGTTTGTTGCCCTCTTCATGACATACTCAAGGACCTTCACATCCTTCTTAAATTGTAGGGCCCAGAACCACACACAGTGCTTGAGGTGAGGTTGCACCGGTACTGAATACAGTGGGAGAATCACCTCTTTTGACTGGTTATGCTGTGATTGATGCACCCCAGCAAGCAGTTTGCCCAACTTGCTGCCAGGGCAGCCAATATAAAATTATATTTCTTATATAAGATATATATTATATTATCTCATCAGATGCTAAGATAATACAGGAGACATCAAGGTGTTGAGTGTTAATAAGTGCTATAAATGTACCTGTTGTGTTTCTACATTATGTACTTTGAAATTAAATATTGTAAACAGTGTTTTTACTCCTGCTTGTATCATATACCCTCTGTTTTGAACAGGTATTTTGGAAGGTTTAGATTAGCCTTTGTTTAAAAACAGCATTATGATTAAAGTAATTTAATGTTTCACTGGCTCAGCATGCCCTCCTATAATTATCTTACAACTTTTGCCTAATTGTAAGGAGGGCTAGAAAGCTTGATAAATATTTATTAAAATTTTTGATGACCCTAAGGTGTTCATAGTTATGTAAAGCTTCTAACATATGTTATTCTCTCTCTCTTTACCTCCTCTTCTCTCTTCTTTATTCAATATCAGCATTTGCACATTCCAACTATGGAGAATGGACCTCAGTTAACAACCCGTTTCCTGAATAAGCTGAGTGATATCCAGGTGAGGTGCTTCCTCTTCTTTATAAATAAAAGATAATAATAAAAGATAAAATATAATAATATTATATTATATAATAATATATAATAATAAAAGATTAAAATCTGAAAACACCTGAAAATAGTGTTTTAATGGTGATGCTATAGGCACCATTAAATAACAATATAGGCTATTTTGTTTGGTCTGGTTATTCTACCAATTTTTTTTCCTTGACAAAATATGATACAGGTGTAGAGTGATATCTTTTTCCCTGTTCATCTTGGAAGCTGGAAGAGAGTAATAAGATTTTACTGCTATCAGTGAAATCCAGTACTGTTGTCATAAGTTCCTTTTTAAAGGAAAAAATAAACTTCTTAATAATCCCAATTACAGATGAACAGAGGCTAATCAATAAAAAGATGGGTGAAGTAGTAAGCTCTCACTGAGTGCCTCCACTGATTACAATTTGTTTCTCAGCATTTTTCCAATCATATGGTCACTTCTTGTTCTAAGAAATCCTCTGATTCGCTAAATACCAAAGTCTTTTTTGAATCTGTGCTTGACCTTGATGTCTGAGCAAAGGTGTCAACAGTGTTTTAGCTAAAGTCAATGAGCAGAATGTGGTGACCCTTCTTATTTTAGTTGCCTGTTTTCTTTTACTTAGTTCATGGTGAAGGGGATTTGGGAATAAGAGTAAGTCTTGGCAAATTAGAAGTCACTTCATTTAAGATCTGATAACAATTGCTTGGCAGTATTGTAATGATTTCTTCAAATCAACTCTGATGGTTTCTGTTCTACACTTTCAGCTTTTGGCTCAATAAGTTCTTAGATTTGCTACCAAAATTTTTATCTTCCTGCTTGTAAGCCCTGAACTAAGAATCACCTTGAAAGATTGTGAGATGTACTGCACCACATTGCAAATCTCTGAATACCAGAAAATGATCAGAATTTTTTCTTAAACAGTCTTCACATTGATTTTTCTTTTTATTTTACAGGTCCTTTACTAGTGTGTAGAAATAATCTGACACAGGGCTGTTCTGATGAGACCCTAAACAAAAATGCCTATGAATTACATTTTGCTGTCATATGTTGACCCACCTAAAATCCTGTGATAAGCAGGTTCACTCATATAGTGTTATTTATTCAGTGTTTTGTGCCATGGTACAGTCCAAGTTTAAATCTGTTGTTACTGGTTGTGGGTTTTTTAATTGTTTAATTCCGGTAGGGTGAAGCAGTCACCAGAGGAAAGTCAGGGCATCTCATGATTCTTCTGTATTCTTTCTTCTCTACATATTTTCACGTTTCACAGCTGCTGGTCTCCAGCATAACTATTTTTTTATTTTTTTCTTCCCCAGCACCTCCCCCAAGACTTGTAGTTCAAATAATGCAGCAAAACCACTTGGCTGTTATTTACTAGGAGGGTAACATGGGATCAGCATCTCTTGTTCTTTAGAACAGTCTTGGACACTTTTGTCTGCAACGCTGGGAGGAAATTCCTGATATTGTGGTACCTTTTTGTTGGTGGCTGAGCCAATTTTCAGGAGAGACACTCTCCTATGATATTTTTATTGTTTCAGCTGTGTAATGGCTTGAGATCTGGGTCTTCAAACAGTAGGACTGATAGGAAGAAGGAAAGGCTCTTCTAGTTCTAGATTTTAGGGGAAAGAGAGGCTTACTATTTCATTTGTCCATGTCAGTTACATTTTTATCATCTTACTGTATGATAATACACAGTAGCTTTTCTCCAGATTCCCACTACATACCACAGTTCTGTTTCATCTTTCTCATCCCAAATGACGGAGACACCTAGCTAAAGTAACTGTTAGTGTCTATCACTTTATTTTTCTTGTTGTTGTATATCCAGATTTATTTTAGGGACAGACTGTAAGCTTGATTTTGTTGATACATTGTAATGCATACTGATCATCACTCTTTCCATAACACTCTGTATTAAAGCCATCATGTTAGTATTTAAAGTATCTTCCATTAATGTCTGAAGGCACTTGTGTAACTCCAGTTACCTTCTGGTGTCCAGGTGATGCAGTATATGTCAGGGCCTTCAGCAGTTTGTGGTCAGTTTGAGTCTCCACTGCTCACTTGTAATTGCAGTCAGGTGATAGCTCGGCATCAGAAAGAGCTGAGGCCATTTGTAGCTCTTTAAGTGCTGCACATGGCAATAGGTACTACTTAGCAGTTTGTGCTGTGAAACAATCAAGAAGGGCTTGCAAAATCCAGAGTTCTGTTTCAGAAGACAACAGTAGAATATGTGTCTTTCTTTCTTGGCTAATAGATAATGAGTGAATTGTTAAGAAAAATTTGTCCAGCCTGTTCCTTGAGGCTTCTTCCCATGCCCTCCTCTATCATCCTAATTTATCTATCCCCCAAACCCTCCCTGACCAAGGTTCACACAGAGGCTGGAAAAGTATGGATTGCTGATTGCTTCTAACTGTTGTCTATCTTGGACCTTTTAACTTTCAGACTACTCATAAACCTTTTGCCTTGCAACTATGTACACGGCAAGTGTTTGTTAGTTACATGCCGAGAGTAAATTCATCTCTCCTGAAAAGTGTTAGACGATTATGTATATGCTTACTTCTTGGTTTTCTTCCTTCTTTAAAAAAAAAGCAAAAAAAGTTAGAATGCTTCATTGTTAGAAACATGATTTTAAAGAGAAAAATGGCTGCTTCCCCTTCAAGAGTCAGTCAGTGGTTGCTGATTGTGTTGTGTACTTTCCTGTCTGTGGAGAGATGGATTCATATCCAAATGGACTCCAGGTCATCGTATGGAAAACAATGCTGCAATACAGAAAATGGAGTATATAATCTTAAACTGTCCAGAGTTTTCAGGGTCTTCCATAAAAATTCTTTATGTATTCTCCTAGGATGGAAAAAAAAACAACAAACAACAAACCTCTTTGCTGTGTCATTGGGCTATTGTCATATCATTTTAACAGTCTGAAGCTGTTGCTCCAAAGAATGTTCAAGCTCTGAAGAACAAAATGCAATGGAAATTACAAACAAACACAGCTTTGGTCTCTGTGCTGTGCTGTTGCTCTAACTAGAGCAATATATCCATTTCACGTTGGGCAACGAACATTTGTAAAAGAGTAAAAATTCTCAGTACCGACATTGTCCTGCATTTGAACCTGTGACCAAGAGGTGCAGAGCTCCATATGTAATATCATTATGCCAGTTCCCTTGTGTACAACACATGCTTGTTTAACATTTTCTGATTATCACTATTATTGTGTTTCCAAGTCTGTTTTCATGCTGCTCATTGTTCTTTTGCAAGTCTTCTGTGTTCAACAGGATTTCTTTGGATTTGAACAGCTGTTCAGTGGAACTAGAGCTAGAGTGACAAATTAGAAACTCATGGGCAGAACTGATTCCATTTCTCATGCTAATTGAGAGAGACAGCAGTAGCAATGCAATACACATTTTCTTTCCTATCACTGAGTGGAACTCATAATACTAAAGTTTGATAAATATTTCAGATTAATTTACATTGTGTAGAGCAATGGTGTGCTTATGAATGAATTAGTCATAGTACACAGTGTTCATCAGCTTGAGTTAGAGATGAGATTCTTTTCCCTGAGAATACACTCAGTGAAATACCACTCAGATGTGGTTTTGCATTCTATGCTTTGAGAATAAACAAACCTTTCCTATCCTCTTTAAATTGTAATTTGGATGCAATTTGGAATGGATGGAAAGAAGGTAATATATGTTGTTTACACAACATGATGTAGAATACTTTTAAACACTGCAGTCAAGACAGCAGTGAATAGACATGGGGTCTAAAACCCTGTCTTTCTCAAAGTTGCATAATCTAAATGGGTAGGCCAGTGGAGAGCAACCAGGGAAGGAGAATTAATGTGTTTACTTTTACAAGAGCTCCAGGGGGAGAAAGAGTGATACAATTGTCTAGCTAGAGGTCACAAGGACTTTGACAGAATCAGAAAGGGAAATCTGCTAAATCTGCTTTTATTTCCAGAGTGAAAACATCTTAATTGTGTTATAACATAGAATCATAGAAAGATTTCAATTGGAAGGGACCTTAAAGATCATCTAGTTCCAACTCCCCTGCATAGGCAGAGACAACTCCCACTAGATCAGGTTGATCAGGGCCCCATCCTGCCTGGCCTAGAACACTTCCAGAGCTTGAGGAGGAGCATGCTTATGAATGAATTAGTGAACTGATCTCAGGGGATAACCGTATTCAGCTGTATGGAAAGCTCTAGAGAAGCAGGACTGTTCTGTATCATCTCTAACAAATATCATTATCGTGCCTTCCTAGGGTACTTATTGGAAGATGGATAAAACTTCAAGCTGCTTTTAGGCTTTGCTTAAATCAAAGACAGAAGGAAAGGCATAAGAAATAATATAAACTAGTATCAGAGTGGTGGATATAAATCTTTCTGAGGATAGACCTAAGAAGTTATCATAATTGTACACTGTTACTTTTAACTTTTATTCTTAAATGCCTTTTTTGCTTTGTTTCAGTATGGAAGAGAAGACAGCGATTGGGCAGTGCTGGTGTCATGAAAGTAGAAGAGTTCAGTCAGACTCTCCAGACAGAACAGCCATGAATAATGACAACTTCTGTAGCTGTCTGTGTGTAGCATAGTTTCTGTATCAGTTTTGCTCCTCAGGATGATTGTTTCCACAATTTGGCAAATGTGAACACAATCATTTTGATTTCTACTGTAATCCTGTTAGTAGAAGCCTATTTCCTTGGTAGAGGTGCTAAATGTTAGCAATAGAAGTTTCCTAATAGGTTTCTTAGTGCCTCCTTGTGTCTTATGTACAGTCTGAAAACTTGTAAAATGCTCTTCAACTGCTCTTCAGTTTGTTCGGTTTGTTTTAACTGCCATCACCAGCAGAGCATGTGTCAAATAACACAAAGACGGTGCCTGTTAGTTTGCCACAGGGTTCTGTTGACATTATTCTGCCTTTTGCTCTGTGTTTGGGAAACAGTTTTAGCCATATGTTCTTTCCTTTCATACTTTGTTTGTATGGGAGATTCCCAAGTTTGCATAGTCTGTTAGATCTCCTCATGCTTGCTCTGTCAAATAACAGCTCTGTCCTTTAGGCCAAAATTCTTTTTGAGTAGATCTAGCCTGCAATATGCTTTCTGTTTGCCTATTGCCTTTCCCTCCATGGGGGATATGCAGTGACTGCTTGGGCAATACATACCTCTTTAATAATTAAATCATCCTTCCATACATGATATACAGGGCTGGGCCAGGCCCTGCTGAGACAAAAAACACCCTTTGTCTGGCCTAGATCAGAGCTGGGCACTGCAGACACAGTGTAGCCTTCTGAGTCATTGTCTGGAAAAATAAGATTAGACAACTATGGTGGTGAAAATTGAACCACTCTTTCAAAGAAACCCCACCTTTGTTTTGAGGAATTTCTTTCAACATCAAGTCACTTAATTTAGATCAGCAAAATGTTCTTCTTGTCCCCTTCACTCACTGTGAAATGAATCCAGCCTCCATTGACACGTGTGCTTTAATAGGGCCTTCCTATTAAGGAACAACTGATGTTGTCAATAGAAAATACCTAACACAAGAAGGAAAAATATTTAATTCAAACTCTGGTTTTGTTCTGATACTTCTTCATGTAATGCTACTCTCTCACGTGCAGTCTTGGTACTGTTGGGAAGCAATATAGAGCATGTAGCCTGTAGTTAGGAAAATAAATTGTGCAAATGTTCACTAGCAATTATACTGTAATATTTATTCGCCTTCTCTTTTTGCACACAGCTTTGACAAACAGCTTTAAGATACCTCTTGCCAAAAATGATCACCATATTCTGTATCAATGTTCCAAAGTGCTACTTCAGTGTAAAACTGGTGGAACTTAACTGACACTGATGGAGTCCTAGAAGAAGTAAAACTGAAACATTTATTGCCATAGCTGCACCAGTATTAAGGGAAATATTTAGCACTTTATTTTTTTTTAAGACTCAAAAGTATCTCTCCCATGCTTTATAAGTCCATTGCAGTTACTATCATTTGTTAACATAATTTAAAAAGGCAAACTATAATTTCTGTTAGACCATGCATGCCTTATGCAACTGCTAAGAAGTAGCCTTATGGCTTTCCCTGGTCATTTTTGGTCAGATTTTAAAGACAACCATCACTTTCCTTTGCTCCCTCAAATCCTGTCTTTTACTGTCTTTCACTGTAGTCCAATCTGATCTTTTAATGAAGAACAGTTGAAGGTTCTCTCTAACAATGTAGCCATTGTTAAAATTTGTTGGATAGTTTTCTCTTTAGAGTATTACTGTGCAAGCACAAAATGTTGTTTCACTTATAGTAGCAATAGTATTATGTGTCTCCTTTTCTGATTATTTGAATCTCTGTGTATTGTGTGTTGGTCTTCATTCAGTGTCTTGCTATGTGTTATAAGCTGCTGGTAGTCTTTTATTTAATTAGGTGGGTGGAAAAATTAACATGGGCAATATTTCAAGATGCAACATGGGGTAGAGAGTTTTATCCAATAAGATAAGTATCATAACTGAAGAGTGCCTTTAACTAGAGTATGGCATGGAGCTCTCTGAAGACTTTGTAACAAGCAACCACATGCAGTTTCCTGTTACTGAACCATCTAACCTGTCTCCTTATGTTGATCTTGGATTTAGCAGCAGAAGGAAAAATGGAAATATCAAATTTCAGATGCATGGCAAAGTGGTTGTATGATACTTTAACATCTCAGGATGTTGACAGAGTTGACAGGTGTCATATATCAAAAATCCCCATGAAGGCCTCAGTATACCAGCAGTAATCTATTCACTAGTCAGAACAAATAAGCACTAGCTAAAAAAGTTGTTTTACGGCAGTGTCAACATTAAAGCTGTGTAAAACTGTTCTTAAATTGGATGCCAGTCATTTAATGAGAGGAAACTGGGTGTTTTCATTTATTGGGGTTTGCACTGCACAGACCAGAAAGACACCTTTCTTTTTACTGCACATTTTGAACTCATGGAGACTTCAAAATTGTGGGAGTTGAAACCAGAATCGCTCACAGGAATGCGTAGACTTTTCTAGTAGAGAAGAATGAAAATGTAGTGTGCATATGTTAACTGTTGTCTTTAACATCTTGGTTAATTGTTTTAGTCTGTTTTACGTCGACTCCAAGTTGTGCTTGTTTCCAAATGGGATCCAGGTGAATAGGTTCTAGATTTTACATTTTAAAATCTCTAATAAGGGAGCTGATGGGTCAATATAATACAGAAAATTCTTCTGATGATGCATGTTGTCCTATCCTGTGTTCTGCTACTGCTTTTTTATCCTGTTAACCAAAGCAAAGAAATAATACATGAAAATAATAGTATTTGTTATTACATTCTTCCTATTTTTGCCTGTAAAATTTAGGAGAGCTTTATGGTATTCCCTGAGCTAATAATAGATTGTAAAAGAACATCTGCAGATCTTTTCTCTATGTGCCCTATTTGTTTAATTGCAACAGATTTACATAGAAAGAGTTTGGTACATCATAACTAGGCAATTATCCATTCTTCATCACTTAGTTATAGTTCTGCTAATTGATCATTGAAGACATAAGATAGTCTAACATTAGGAGAATTTGAGGCTGTTCAAAAAAGATAAACAATTTAATATTGTTGTGTGATACTTGCATAATTGGCTGCAATTATTTAATGTTTAATTGGGTTGATCAAATGAGACTCAGCCTTTCACATGCTTATGTTTTACAAATAATGGTACTTTAAAATGATAATAATGAACTCTAATTTCTGTATGTTCTTTCTTCTCCCCTTCATTCTTTTGATGATTATTTTCAGTATTGAACATGTCCTGAATTTTCAGTTTGGTGAGCATTATTCATGCATAGGAAAGAAGTCTTTCAAATGAGAGAACTTTTATGAATCTGACATTTCATATAAAGCTGTTCTGATGCCAAGACTTATGGCATTACTCAACTAGATTCTTACCTGTGCTGAGAGCAACTTTGCTGTGAATTTACAGGGATGGATTCTGGTTCCTGCTTAAGGTAGATAATCTGCTCAGTTTGTAGCAATCCAAAGCAAGCATGATTTTTCTGGGGTATAGAAGGGAAGCCTGGTAAGATAGTGAGAGATTTCTCTGCCCAGCCATTGTTTACACCTTTTCTACTATCTCAAGCCAAAAAACCCCCAGTTGTCCTCCACTCCTCTTTCTAGATAAATTCTTTTTTAGGGTTTAACTAATTCAACAGAGGTATCATTGATCCTCTCCTGTACACTTATTTTATACTTATTTTTCCTCAGGTGTGAAGAATAGTAATTTGGAAAAATGTGATATTTGAAAGAGTCACACTTGGTCTTCCAAGGAGGCAGGCAGAAAAACAGCTGGGACTGATCTCATAGCCACCTACGGAGAGGAGGAACCCTCTCAAATTCAATAGCCTCTCCAAAACAATCTCTATAGTCTCAATAGATTTCTTAGTGTGAACTCTCTGTTGATAGTGCCTTATTATGAAATAGAATACAGAGATGGTAGCACAGCCTGCCGGACTACGGCACATTGTCTCTCTCTGCTTGGGATTCACCCTACTGATGGTAAGTTTTAATGTTCTAGTGGCAGGCTTGGACACTGAGATGTGGGCAGGTGTAAATGATGGCTGAGTGTGCCCTGGAGTGGGCTATTCCTCCCTGTCCTCTCCTCTCCGCACAGACTTGCAACCCCTTTTCCTCAACCTCCTATCATGATGCCCCTTAGTCTCATATCTAAAAGTGATCATTTAATCAAATTTTAATTATTTTTGCTTTTAGCAGTAGTGATAGTTTAGAGGAGGAAGTGATTATCTTATCTTGCAGGTTTTGAGGACTCAGAATTGCACTTTACCACCTGCATATGCAAGGCCTGAACAGACTGCCACGTTGTAACCCTGGACAAGTTATCTAACCTCTGTGTAAGTGTAGAGTAGTAGTATTTTTACCACTTTTAACTCTAAGCCAAATTTTGCATAAAAATAATATTTTACTACAGATCAAATAAGCTTTCTAGAAAGCTTTTTAAGGGGTAGAGAAAGATGTCATATAAAGGTCAGTGTTTCAAGGATTGCTTTAGAGTGGGAGTATTTTGATTATTCAGGAGACAAATGTTACATGAATGAGAAATATATTTAAGGTTTGCTCTGTGAACCCATAAACAAGTAAAATATGTAGTTTGGGATATAAAGTAACATACAGAAAAATCTTCACAAGACAATTCGCCACCTCTCAAACAGTGCTATCTTATTTAAAAGTGATGTTGGAAGACACCATTTTACTTCTCAATGTAGAGTCAGTAGATTAAAACTGTTACACAGGTACACTTTGTCACATAGCAGGGTAAAGACCTCTTTATTGATTATGAATACAAATTTTCTGAGCTGTAGTCTTTGCTATTTTGTCACTATCCTCACATTTGGGAAGAATAATTCATAGGATGTAAATCACTTAAGTCATAATAGCGGAAGTCAGTACTGGTATTGAATTGGTGAAAAAAAGCTATCGTAGCAATCCATCTATCCAAGCCTTGCTTTAAGCATGACAGTTCTTAGTGGAAATTCCAGGATATTTTCCCTGACTGTGCAAAATCTGAGTGCCATCTATAGCACAGTTAGCAAATATATCCCCAACTCCATAAACAAAACTAACTTGTCCGTTATCTTTAGCTAGATCAGTCAAGTACATTAGGGCTTAGCAGTCGTAGAACAATACCAAGTTAGAATAGTCAGGCCTCAGATTTGGAATTAGTAGCTCGGATAGAAACAAATCTCATTGACCACAGTAGCAAGGTTAACCACACCCAAATTTACTAATAGTGGTGTTTAAATTCACTTGTAATAAC